GTACATTCCAATTAGATAGGGGGTGGACTCATGCGCTATTAAATATCCTCTCAGGAAATGAAGTAGCTGTTAACCAGCTGTGATAGGATGAAAAACAAATTTTTTTTTTTTTTTTTTTTTACAAAAGTGTAGTGCTGTGTGTGCTATGACTGACTATATTAAAATGCCAAACCATATTAAATGTGAATAAAATGTGACCCTGTGTACAATCAATATGTCCGAGGGAGAGATCCATCCTGCCTGGGATCATCTGGTGATATTAAATGCTTTATGACTCCTTGAGGGTAAAATTTGTAACGTGAGTGCACACACCAGAAGGTGACAGATTGGCATGATTTATATAAGCACACAATATAAAGCTGAAGAATTGAAAATCTGGAGATGGGTGACTGAATTGCTATATTGCCCACTTAAAGCTTTGAAAAAATCTGGATTTTTCTCATTTTTATTTCACACATTCCCTTTGTATGTATTTTTATTTTTTTACACTTGGGACTTTGTAAGCGCTTCTTTGCCATCCATTTCCGAGTGCTTTTTAGGTCACGGTGTATAATTTGGTCACTTTGAATGCAATCATCAACTTGTTGGATTATGCTACACGGACTATTCTTTATCATATCTGTAACAGGGAGAAGCATATTGCAAACTTCTTGATATACACAGGTCACATAATATATGGTTTGGCAATTTTAATTTCAATCCTCAGACACACACAGCGCTAAAGGTTACAATTTACCAAATATTGTTTTTGCCCCAGGTATAGCACATTTACTGGCAGTTGTGAAAGTTTTTCCCCCTACTAGCGTTCCTCCTTTAAGTCACCTCTGTGCATCTGCCAAAATCTGTGTTCGGCCATGGAATATCAGAGCACTTTAACTGTTTTGTATGCACTGCACGTTCTCCTATCCTGCCTCCTTTATTGTACCCACATTGTACCCCACCAAATTCCTTATACTTCAGGTATAATCTGCCACATGGATCTATGAATGATACCTTAGAAAGAGAACGCTCTTCCATGGAATATCCTGAAAAAAGAGGGATGTTGATGATAGCCATGTTGGACTTGTTCTGAATACCGTGATAGCTGGGAAAAGAAAGAAAAAGCAATCAGCACAAAAAAAAAAAAAAAAAAAAAAAAAAAAAAAAATGCACAAAGCTGTAGAGGACCTTGTTCTCGTGGTCTTCCACTTGTACTGGAGCTTTGTGTAGAGCCAGCTTTTACTAAGAATTTGCAGAGCTTTAGGCAACATATGTTGAAGCCTTTAAAGTGCCCTTTAGCACATTAAACAGGTCTCAATGAAAGTGCCGATTGTCAACACACACCACTGTAAGCCTATAAACAGCCAAGTGGCAAATAGGTATTTCAATTCCAGGGACAGAATGGGAACGAGTGGCTCGTCTGTGACCTTAACCCAAAGTCTAGCAAGCAGGCAAAAGAGGTCTCCCGTATATGAGTATTAAGGCACTAGATAAAGCACCTCCAAACAGCCGCTGCACCCTTCAATACCAATGATTGGAGCAGTCCTCAAAACAGTGAGGAAAGATGAATGCATTGAGTGCAAGTAGCCTGCCCCCCTCCTATACATTCTGCAAGTTAACCCCTTCATCTCCATCCTCCAACTGCATGTGATGCATACATTAACCCCCTCGCCTCCCCCAGTGTATGACCTGCATGTGGTGCACTATTACCAAGCTCTATGTTGAAAAACCCTCAATCACAGCATGTCGCTTGACTCAAATATTTGGCAAAAAGGAGATCCCCTTGGTGAGGTCTTCTTTCCATCTAGGGGACATTTCGGGGGTGTTTGCATTGTCCTGGCATTTTTAACAAAAAGGGTAAGGAAAACCTATTTTTTCAGAAGCTTTGATCTGGTTTTACTTATGTAGAAAAAAAAATTTAAACCCTAAAATACCAACAAAAGGGCCGGACAATTACTCTGTCATGCAACACTGTATTGAAAATGGAAAAATTGCCTGGTAATGGAGGTATAAGCTGGCACAAGTGGCTAAACAAACTTAGCTAGGCTTCAGCAAGAGTATAGCCTGCTAGTTTAACCACTTGTCTATCAGTACAGTTTATAAACCGTAGCCGGTAGTCAGGGATTTTAAAACCTTTTAAATCTGTAAAAACAGCAATGGAAAATAAGCAGGTCTATTACATCACTTCCAGGTCTAGCTGACCTGTGCACCATTAGCTTCAGTGGAAGGCAAGGGAAAGCGGACCTGTTGCAGCAAAATAATGTGATCACGTAGGAGGCTACTGACCCCCCCTTGACCCACTATGCAATAGTGAGGAAAGTACAGTCCATTTGATGGATGAGCAGATTCACTCATCGGCCTCTATAAGGTACACCTGTTCAACTGCTTGGTAACACAAGTTACTAATCAGCAAAATCACATGGCAGCAGCTCAATGCACTTAGACATCTAGACGTGGTGAAGATGACCTGAAGTTCAAACAGGATTAGAATGGGGAAGAAAGGGGATTTAAGTGACTTCAAACAAGGCATGGTTGTTGGTGCCATTTGATTAAAAAAAAAAAAAAAAAAAAAAAAAAAAAAAAAGAAGGGGGGGGGGGGGGTTGGGGAGGAAATATCCAGTGAGCTGCAGTTGTGTGGACACAAATGCGTTGATGTTAGAAAGGCAACAACTCAAATAACTGGTCTGCCTCTGACCTCTATCTAGAACCACTCATGCATTCAGAGATGGTATTCAGTATACCTTTGTTGTACCACCACATCAAACCTTGAAGCAGATGGGCTACAGCAGCAGAAGACCACACTGGGTGCCACTCCTGTCAGCTAACAGGAAATGGAGACTACACACACACACACACAGACTCACCAAAATTTGGCACTGGAAGATTGGGAAAAACATTGCTTGGTCTGAGTCTTGATTTAAGCTGACATTGATGTTGGGGGTCAGAATTTGGCATAAATTTGAAAGCATGGATCCATCCAGCCTTTTATCAATGGTTCAGGCTAGTGGTGGTGTAATGGTGTGGGGGATATTTTCTTGGTACACTTTGGGCCCCTTAGGTATGCCATGTTTAAATGACGCTCAATTGGTACTGCGTATTGTTTCCAACTACGTCCATCATGTCAATATGGACCAAAATCTGAGGAATATTGTTGAATCTGTGCCATGAAGAAAGGCAGTTTTGAAGGCAATAAGGGTCCAGCCCAGTACTAGCAAGGTGTACCTAATAGAGTGGCCAGTGAGTGTATATGAAAACGATGATTGCACTACATATTGCCATGAATGTTGGAGAGAGCAAGAACCCTAGACCATCATTCATTGTATTGCTAAATTGGTAACCTGTGGCCAATTTTGAGTAAAGTAAGTGTCAGTTTCAAAAGACGTGTGCAATTCTGAAGGCTTGGCATGTTCTATACCTAGTTACTCATTGCAACACATCTTTTACATTTTACAATACGATGAGTGATATATATTGTTCTTGTGCGCACTAAAACTAACTTTAGCTACTTCTTTACTGAAAATTTGCGCTCGATAAACTTTTCAGCAAATATGGTGAAACATAAAAAAATTGGAACTACAACTTTTGTTCTCCAGGGTCGCAGGTTTTAGGAAATACAATGTCTGGAGGTTTTACCCAAGCTTCAGGCCTAAAATGATTTTAACATTTACCAAAAGTAAGTATTTGGTAAACATGTGCACTAATATGTGACAAACAATTGAAACTACTTTATTTTATTTTCCAGGGCCCTTGCATTAAGAAAATATGCACTTTTTTGGGGTGGGATTTAACTATTCTCCATGTGCATTTTAACAAGTGTGCAAAAAATGGCTCTGGCAGACATGTGAGCACAGCTTGCTGGAAGTCTCTCAAAAGGCCAGTCTCTCAAAGTACCAACCAACCCTAACCAAGTTATGCTATAAAATGTGAAGCTGCCCTCCTATATAGTGATAAACAATCACCCACAATACCGAATCGGCAATAAAATGAGTAAAAGGTGCTACAAAAATACAATATCAAAAGATAAAATTAAAAAAAAAAAAAAAAAAAAAAAAAAAAAAAAGTCCATCGCACCACCGTGCAATAAAACTTCAACCAATCAAGATCCACACCACTGAAAAAAAATGGAGTGGTTTTCTGAAAGACCCGTCACGTCCGCTGGAATGCAGGAGGGACCACAATTTGTGCCCAGGCCGTTTTCAATTGTGGGCATAATTTATGCGAGTATAAAAATACTACACTTCTGATTCTATTCATACTACCAAGCCAGAGAAAGTATCGAAGGGGATGTTCCAAAGAAAAGAGGAAGTAATCCTGATAGTCCTTGTCATTATCCATGAAGGGACATTTAAGATGTACAGCGTTTTCTGACCTTTAATCAAATAAGGGATTTCAGGAGTGTCAGTGGGTGAGCATTTTTCACAGTGGTGTTGATCTTGGTGGCACTGGCACAGGATTTATTTAAAGATGCACTGAAGATTTATTGCATGTTGTGCAGCGGACTTTATTCAAAGGCTTTGCAAAAGCCAGCAGAAACACATTTCTTATACAAGCTGGAGATTAAAGATTATATTAGACCATGACTTGCTCCCAAACCAATGGGAAGAAATTGATCGTTCTGAGTTAGCTAGTGCTTAGGTGATTTGTGATTTTTTTTGCGGTTTCCTTTAATTGTTCTACTGGTGGCTCCTCATTTATGCTATTCATATTTGTATATGGGTTATAGGTAAAATTATACAGCAGAGAATTGGTGTTAAATTTTATTGTAGGAAACCATTTGGGATTAGAGCCCCGTTGCTGGAGAATTTTTTTATGCCCCACTTAAAGCCACAAAAAGTTTGGGACATCTGCAACTAGCATGACAACATTCTTTAGATTATAAATATAGAGATTGGGCATCCTTCAGTTATTCAAGATATTAAACAAAAAGCAGCTCAATACAAAAAAAAAAAAAAAAAAAAAAAAAAAAAAAAAAAGGACACGACAAAACCTATATCCTACCTGGCATTCACTTGACAATCAACCAAGTACGCCACTCCATTCTGACAATTGCCTGGGAATGTAGTCACCGACACCGAAAATGCAGAATTTCTCTGTCTCACTGGAATGTTGAACACAACTCCAGTCTGTAGAGAATAGACAAAACAGCAAATTTAAAATTCATCATTTCTCACTTGGATCCTAGGGCACCTTTTTGTGTTTGTCATTTGCATCCATTCACTAGTAACTCAGAGGAACAAGCAGATTAGGTAGGCACCTGTAGATGTACAGTTGTGAGACAAATGCAGGGAGAAGTTCCAAGATTTACTGTTCAGTGTTTTCTATCCTTTTCTCTGCTCATCCAGTCAGAGCTTGCCATTGCTCATTACCAATGTGGCAGCAGATAGTCTCAGTGTAGGTTTAGAATCTGGATGCGCCTGTTAAGAGTACATTGGACATCTTTTGGATGCCCCCAAAGGACATATGCTGGTATGTATAATTGCATCAGCTGAGAGATAATCTAAGTGGTGAGTTGTGTGGAAATTTGTCATCACTGTCCTATATTATTTGGGAGTGGTGGAGTTGGTTTAAAGCATAGCTGTCAGGACCGGGATCTGAACCCACAACCTGCTGTTTCAGACAATAGATCTTCTTGCCGAGTCCCTGGAGATGTTGGACAGTGCCTTACTGGATTACTTGGACACACTTTGTCTAGGTTCTGGATAAACCTTGAACTCCATGCTCCTCCCATTAACTTCCTATTTAAGCCATGCCTTTGCACTTCGTGTGCCAGATTGTACTATAGCCAATATCTCGCTCTTGGTCACTCCTACTGCTGTCCATAACTTCTACCACTTGTTACCAACCTATGGCCTGTTCTACTAGCTTTCCACTTGATCCCAACATGCAAACACTTGTTCCCGACCTTTAGTTTGTCTGCTAACAATGCTTCGTTTGATCCCCATCTGTTACTGGCCTCGACTTGCTCACCGCCTGTTGGGGTGATCCGGATGACCAAAACCTGGTACTAACATGCAGTAAAACTCATCTACACCATCAGGAGCTCTGATGAATACTGGTTAGGGTTGAGATCCTGCATCTCAGGTGATAAGCGTCATCTGCTATGGTGACCTGCTTGTATACTATCCTGCTGGTTGGTGCAAAAAAAAAAAAAAAAAAAAAAAGGGGGGGGGGGGGGGGGGGGGAGAAATTCCATAAGCACTTGAAATGTACCAAGTAGTGTTTTACTCATTTCACAGAATAAAAGTAGAGTGGAGGTTGCATCGTGCAGGAAGTATGTTGAACTATTGCATCAAACAAATCAAATCTAGAAAAGGTTTGTCCTATGTACATTCTCCATAGGTTCGCTCTAATCTAGATTGTATCCAATTTCCACTCCAACCTAAGTGGGAGGTGGGGGTGAGACTAAATGTACCTTCTAGAGAGAATAGGCATCTTAAAATAGAACACCAAATTTGAATACAAAAGTAAAGATATCCAATACATATAAATACAACTATCAATTATACAATTCCACGGAATAGTGATATAGATAGATTGTGGCACTTTGGATATAAAACCAAAGTGCCAACATTCTGAGTCTTCAGAGCATAGAGGATGCTTCTTGTAAGTTACAAGAGAGGGGGAAAGAAACCCCAACATCAGACCCCATAAGAGCAAAAAATAAGCATAACCCCAAAGAAGGTGGGATGATCTCAGCATTCCAATACCAGAGCACATACCCCTCCACACTCAAGACATGTGCAGTCTACTGGACAAAGAAGTCACCCAAGACAAGTCTCTCTAGAAGGCACATTTAAGTCCCATTTTGTAAGTCTTTCCTTATCTTCCCGCTTTGGTTTGATTGTTGAAATGGAAACGTGATAGCATGGGATTGAGAAACTATAACTGGTTTCTATGCAGAGCTGCACCAGATTTTGCACTCTTCAATCAGCTTCCAGGGATTTTGTCAAAGCTTAATTGAACAAGCTAATGTTAGAAACTGATTGCAAAATCTGGTGCAGCTGTGCATGGTAGCCACTCTCCAGTTATAGTAAATCAAGCCCTATGTGTAATTAGGATGTTTTGAGGCTTTCCATCCAATGTTTGAGCTCCATATTTCTCATTCTCCAGGTTATCTGGCAATTCTAAAATTGAACAGCAATAGAACATTACCTGCAGCAACACACAGCCATGCCCAGACACCACCATGCTGTAGTTCCCAGGAACCTGAGGAAGATCCTCAGACTGGAGGAGGATTCTGCTGGATTGGTCAACACTAAATTCTCTGATGACTTGATCTCCATATTTCAGCTGAACATTGTTTGTGGCATTTGCCTGGTACACCAGGGCTCCATAACTACACAAGGCGTCCAGCACTGCCATGGTGTCCTAAAGGAAGAAAACCAAACAATTAAGTATATACAAGCCAACAAGTTTTTAGTTCTGATATGTAAAAACAACCAGCTCTTGTGGAAAAAAAATCAGCAAAGAGCAAGGTTGGTACACAAACCCAATAGAAAATATAGCCAAACGTTTTGCACTGCCAGAAGTACTTGCTAAAAAACTGATCAACCAAAATGTAAAAAAAAAAACAAACAAAAACAAAGTGACAAAAATTATAAAAATGTTCAAATAATGAAACATTAGGGTTGATTTACTAAAACTGGTTTTTATGCAGAGCTGCACCAGACTTTACATTCTCCAATCAGCTTCCAGGTTTTATTCTCAAGGCTTAATTGAACAAGCTGAAGTTAGAAACAGATTGGCTACAATGCACAACTACACAACCATATATATGGAAAATAGGTTACTGAAGTTTGCCACCATTTTATGGGTGCACACAATTTAAGATTTGATGACATGTTGGGTATCCATTTACTTGACACAACTTCATCTTTTATATTATAAAACAAAACTTAGTAATTTTTTGTGTATGTGCACCCCAAAAATGTGTATTTTTTTATTGAAATTTAGTTACCTAAAAACTGTTGCACTATTTTCCTCACAAGCTGCTGCTCTGATTGTTTCCCACTCATATGCATCTCCCTCACTGGAAAGACTGGTGCATATCGAGAGGAGGCAACTGATGATCCTGTGGCTGTGTGAGTAAATTACCCCGGTGCTGGAAAGTCAGTGACTGTCTAGCTTTTAATCTCTGGAGAGCATACTAGCCACCATTAACAGAGATATTGTGGGACGTTCCTATTTTACAGTTCAGCCAGAAAGCCAAATAGTCCACAGGTTTTCCAGTGGAGTTAATTGGGGTATCCCATGCTCCCCTCATCCCCATCCAAGTTCTAAGTTTCAATAAAACCCAAAAAGACACCAACTGTTCTTTGAGCCAGTGGAAGAGTGAAGAAAATGTATGCCTGAGTGCTTTAAATTGTGGAAAAGGACCAAGTTCAGCAGCGACTTTAGCAGTGCGCTACACTGTCAACTGTAGAAAATGGCAGCCAATAAATGGATGTTTTTTGTTTTTTTTTACCAGAGAGCTGCAAGCTAACACATGCAACAGTAAAACAGCCAAACAAGAAGTGAATAGATGCAATTTGTTTAGCAACTGACTGCAGCAATCCATAATCTATAGCATGCAGCATTTCATACAGATGCTGCAGTTTGCCCCTTTAACTGTGTGGCTTTCATTTGATAACTAATACACAAGACATAGTACCAGTGCTGTAGAATGGCATAAGGAATCCACTTGCTTGCAAATTGAACAGTGTAAGCCATTTTGTTCCCCCCTGGAAGCATACTGGCCACAATGATTTGTTTTCCAACTCTTTAAAGCTCTACACAAAAAAAAAAAAAAAAAAAAAAAAAAAAAAAAACACTGGAGCATTCCCAAAGAGCAGACACCTTACCGATGTGGTACTGTAGGAACCATGCATGTTCTGCTCTCGAACAAGCCAGTTGCTAATCTGGGCCATTTCATTCAGGTCCTCTGCAGATACTGTAGAGCTACTCTCCCCATGTGCCATAGCCTTAAGGACAATAGCTGTTAACTCCAACTCTGCCGAGGGGGCACGAGGAGCAAACAGGTAGGGAGTCTGCTGCTCTGGTCGGTCTTTACGTTCCCAGTGAAGAGAGTCACCTGGAGGAAGAGAGCAGAATAAAAGCAGTCATTTACTAAAAATCAAGCAAATCCAGTTTAAAGAACCAAAATTTGCTTTTAATGTACAATTTAGGCTGTCGATGGACATCCATCATCTGCAGAGCCCCAACCTTCTGAGCAATAGAGGCAAGCAGAAGACAGAGCATGTTCATTGATTGACTAAGAATTCAACACATGCATTTTTGGCCTGTTGACTTGTGGACAGTCATTCCAGTCCCTGCAGGACCTCCAATAGAATTTTGGCCAATAGAAATACAGAGTTCAGCATATGTCCACCATGGCACAGACAATTGTGTCACATGGCAGTGCCAAAGCAGTCACATAGTAAACATGAAGTTTCAAGGGCTGGAGAACCAGGTAGAAGACAAAAATGATCATTTTGGAGATACTCCATCCAACTAGTTAACAGCAGTTGAAACTGATTTACCCTCAATGGGAACACAGGTCTGTCACCTCCAGCACTGAATGTATGTAATAGCAAAGGGTGTTCCTGAGGATCTTTTGCTGGAGGATCCATTGTCACTGAAGGGGATCCATTTTTGTATCATGGTCTATGGTTTCTTTTTAGTTGATCTATTGATGGGGGGGGGGGGGTCAACTGTTGCTGGAAGGAATCTACTATTGAGGGAGCGGTCTATTGATTATTGCTGGAGAACCTATTGATGCTGGAGTCTTGTTGCTTGGGTGGTATTTTGGGGGTCGAGCAGTACTGGGAGGTGAGTGGGGGGTGTGAAGGGACTCAGAAGGGGGTGGGGTGAGTTCCTGCACTTATCTTCTGAGAAATAAAAAAAAAAAAAAAAAAAAAAAAAAAAACCCTGACAGCACTTATGGCTCTTTACAGGATTATGAAGATCTCCAAACTTCACACCAGTACAAGCCTTAGATTTCCAAATATAACCTGCTGCTAAAAAGGGAAGCCAGGCTCATTTACCCAAGCTACAGGAGTCACTCCTTCCCACCCCCTCAGTTTGTTGGTTTGGCTTATAATAAATGCTCCTAAAATTGGTTTAAAGCTGCAGTTTATTTTTTGCCTTCCTCAATTTCCCCCCTGCCTATTACTATGCTAAGACCTTTGAATAAAACCTTTCCAATTTCATTAAACAGTTTAAACCCTGGCATGTCATCACTGGGCCTCTGGGCTTCTCTATTCAATGCAGACAGGTCATTGCTAGTAGGAGGGGGCTGGCAAAATGCTATGCATTACACATCACAGCCTACCTATCTCAATACTCCTCAAGAGCCCTTGACTCATACAGCCAGTGAGCTGTCTCTTGCAAGATGGATAAGTTGGAGTGGGCAATCATAGGCAGACTATTTGCATGCCTACTGCCCAAGATCACTTCTCCATGTCACAAGGAAATATACATGGAACATTTCCCCCCCACATGGAACTGGCATGAAAAAGGTTGTAAATCCCATGCTTTCACAAAGATGTATTTCAAAGATTGCACACTGGCAAGATTTACATTAGTTGACCACTTTAATTTTAGGACATATGTACAGGGTGTGCTTTCAGGAGTATGAATGGTTTGTTGGCTTTAGGGGGGTACCTTCAGCAATGGCCAAGGTTTTCAACTTTTCACGCATTGCGTTGGCACGCTCCACATTTCCAGCCATCCGGAAGGCATTGTAGAGCATAGCGTAGTTATACACAGACTGATTCTTTCGAGAGGCGGCATCCAAGTAGGAGAGAGCTGGACGTAGCAGTGAAGGCTGGAAATAGGACAGGATTGGGTGTTCATTATGGTACAAAATATGCAAATATTGCATTTGCTTTATTTTAAATGACAGAAGTCATTCTATCCCTTTAGCTGCAACATCTATTGGCAAGTGTATGGGTGGTATAAGTGGGAAGGCAATAACCAATAGCAGCCAATGAGAGTTAATCCTTCACTTATCCAACTGGTAGCAATTAATGCTTATGGTCATTACCTTATTCCCCTTGTTAAGCTGGCCATGCACTTGTATTGGACAGCAATTTAAACCCAGGGTGTCACCCTTTACAACCCAATGGACAAACAAAGCATAGAAAATGCGTTATGCCAATAAAATTTCACATGATTCTTAGCATTTCCTAAAAAAAGATGACAAAATTGGGTCATTGCATTACATGCTACAATCTCAAAACACACACAAACACACAACTCCCCCCTACAAGTTTTTCCCAACTTCTCATTTTTTAGAATACTATTAAAAATTGAGAATTAAAAAAAAAAAATTGTATGTGAAATTCAATACTACGACAGGTTTATGCAGCTTGTTGAAGAATCATGGGGTGGTCATCTTTAAAAATGATTAGGTACAGCTAATTGGGAAAGAAATACTTACAGTAGTTGCATAAGCAGTCTGAGCCATGAAAATAACCACAGCACATGTAAACCCAACATCATCATCAGCACCTCCCTGCAAAAAAAGAACGAATCAGTTCAATATTCCAGTTTACACACAGAATTTAACTACATTGATGGCACTCATGCCACTCAGTCTTCCCATTGCACCTAGTTCTGGTTGGGTGGTGCTGGGGTGTACAAAGACTACCATGATCCTAGACATCAGTGCCAAGCAAATACAAAGCTAATTTTTGTTGAGTCTCTAAAGGGGATGGTGCAATACAGGATTTTACCCACACCCACTTCTAGATTTTGTACAAGACTTTTGCCTCAGGCATATGTGAAGTCAACTTTTATCAATTTTTGCTAGAGTGGGGGTTGAGTATTTTAGTGTTGAGTCCCCCTTTATTTCCTCTCGATTTGTCCTCTTGACCACTGTATCCTGACCTATCACAGTAAATTAGAGGGGAGGGGAAATATTTAAATGGATAAACCCATTCCAATGACAATTCTTAGAGGCGATAACCCCTTGCTTTTGGAGAAATCTGTTTTTTTTGCCACACACACACCACAAAAAACAGACACTGGGACCTTTGATGTCATCTACAACAGTGTAATCGAATCCCCAGTCATACCCCCTCCCTTTATCCTGTAGCATTGGTGGAAATCTAGCTTGGCTGCCTACCAGAAGTATTCAGCAATGCACTGCTGTTCCTGTCAGCTTCTGACTGAGAAGGATATAATGATCCATAGTGTCTTACCTTCAGTCCACTGTTAAATAAGTTCCCCACTGGCTTGAACCGTCCACTGCTCAAGTCCTGCAACCGTTCCAAAAAGAGAAGGCCTTGCTGGAAGATGTTGTCATCAACAAGGGTGTATGGTTTTATGTCCCACAAGGTTTTCAAACATAACACAGTCAACCTACAAAATCAAGAAAAGGCACTTTAATATGTTGAATTCTTAGGCTAGTCAGCTCATTCAGTGGCCACAATGCAGCATTTTATTGAAATTCCTCAATCATAAAAATACAAGCCAACATGCACTCTCCCTACTGTGTCAAATTGAAGCGAGAGGAGTCCAGAAACCTTCCTCTTCCATAACAGCAGACAACGTAACTGATAACAGTCAACACAGAATGTGGTTAATCAGCTGACAAAATTTCTGGCAGGAACAATGGGTTTTTTTTTTTTTTTTACTTTGATATGACAAAATGCTTTACCAAGCCACGGTCTTAGCTTGTGTTTGCATCTGCAGCAAGCTGAACTGCAGATTTACTTTGCAACACAATTATATCTACTAAGTCTTCTAGTTTTTGTCCAACATTATCTGCAACCCGTTATATCATCTTGATGCGCCACCCTAAGTGATAGATGGTGCCACTCCGATGATCCACGATTTGGAGGGGTGCTGGCGTTTAAAATGCGCATTCAAAAAGCATGCCAAGCCTGCGATATAAAAAGGGGCCAAACACCAGCAGCTCTATGAGAGACTGAAGCAGCCCCAACTCCTGAGACCACCACCCCCCCCAAAAAAAAAAAAAAAAAAAAAGGTTCACCCCACTCCTGGTGATTAGTCAGAGGTTGACTAACCTCTATGGCTATGCCCTGGGGACAGGGTGAAATGCATCAGCTGGTGTGGTCTCAAGAGCAACCAAGTCTATGTCTGCTTCTTACAGTCATCAGTGCCTTCATGTCAATTATCTGTAACTGGTAATCATACCCAGTAATTGCCCCAACCCACATACCATCGACTATTACCCTGCGAGTACATCCGTTCTGGTTTACTCAGACAAGGACAGACTTTAATCACAAAATATGGAGATGGAACAGACATTGGTAGATCCAGAATGAAATGGGATTGGTCCAGCACAGGTCACTTAGACCTGTGCTGCCCACTGAAATTTACTACAGCTGAAAGTACAAAACCACAATTCTTAGCAGCAACATTAAATTTGTGCTGGCTGGCAACGTTGAGCTGTCTAGCCTTTTAAAGTTTTTCAAGCTTACCATCCACTTGGCTCAGACCTCCCTGGACCAAAAGGGCTGAAGCCTCCATCTCCATGTTTAAAACGCAGTAGTTTCACGTATCCTAGGAATAAACGTCACGAGGTTAGAGATTAAGGGATTTTGCAAAATACACGATCTTTTAGTTCAATTTTTCCCATCCAACAAAATGGTAGTTTTCTACCCCAATATGGGAAGGTGACAAATTTACATTCAAAATTAAACTTAGAATGGTTGATCACAATGATATGGACCCATACACATTATACAAGGGGCATGCACTGAAGGGTGTACATGGTCTGAATACTTTCAGACTAGTTTCTTACAGCTAAAGAGGCTGCTTCTCCAGATTCTTCTGCTCCCAGTTGGTAATCATGGTCATTTGATCAGCTTATGGGACTGTGTTGCTTAAAGTGTCACGAAACCCACAACAGTAAAAATCAGTCTATATGCAGTAAAGCACACTTTTTATACTCCCTATAGAATCCTCCACATTCTGTAAAAAGGCATCTTTATCCTGTCTTCTCTAATTCTCCCCGGCTACCACAGTCTCCAATCCATCTGGTGATAGTACAGAGCCTTAGGAGCAATACACACCAAACTGAGCATGTGCAGAGTTTCTTCTTCTGGGGGGGGAATGGTGCACGTGTTCAGCACAGGGCCATTCAGCACTGACCAGACAGGGTCATGCAGCCTGGTAGCACAGTCAGAGGAGAATGACATCTCCTCCTACAAGAATAACCAGTGTTCAACCCAGAAGTTACATGTTCAACCAGACATGGATAGAAGTCACAAGACCAAGTTTAGATTTACTAAATGAATTTATGTTCTGTGGAAAATCAGATATAGTGAATGCAAGGTCCTGGGTTTATTAACACTTCGAAGTAAATAAAGTCCAACACTAGCCAAAAAAAAATCTAACCCTTTGCACCCTACATTTTTAATCACTTCTGTGTACACAATGGGGAACACCCCAACCGATAAGAATTTTAATATATTTTTTCCCTCCCCTGATTCTTCCATTTTTTTGAGCAGGCAAGATCTTAGGCATAGAAAGTGAAAAAAAATTTTTAAGAAGTTCGGATTGGATTCACTGCTGTGTCTGTAAGCCTGGTTTGAATTTGTAAAGCATTAAGAAAAAAAAAAAAAAAAAAAAAAAAAAAAAAAGAAGAAGAAGAAGTTTGATTACATTTCATCAAGCTGGCAATGAAAACCAAATAAATGTTTAATCCACACGTAGACGGAACGATGTAGGGCATTACTTTATGCCCTAATGGTCAGCTATTAAAGAGGCAGAAATGAACAGAAACTGCCTAAAATGCAGGAGCAATCAATCCAAATCAATGAGATGGCTTAAAATCCCCTTTACTGCCAATTCATTTGCAGGATAAGTTGGCTAAAGTTGAATACCCTTGAAAGAATACAGAAAGCTTCTAAAGAAATAAATAGGATACACACTTAAATAGAAAGCTTGTGGGAAAAAAAAAAAAAAAAAAAAAAAAGTTACCATTAGCCATATTTTGCAATGCACTTTGTCTAATTTTCTCAGTGAGACGACCAGTTAAATTCAAAAACTCCATCGCACGCATTATTGGCATCAACGTAGCAAGAGTTTGCTCTCCGCATCCTGTGGGCTCAACGATTAAGTTTGCAGGGTTTGTCAATGCTCGGCCCAACATGTCTCCTGCAACCAACAAAGCCACATTTAGGGTACATTACATAATTGACTCAGGTCAGAAAAACTGAGAAGACAACTTGTCAGAGTCGTCAGTTTTTCTGACCTGTCACTGGTACATACAAGATAAAAATTTACACAATATATTCAGCAGGTGTATTATAGTACATTGTAGAACAGTAAACAGACTACAATTGAGAGCTTTCTGCCGTACATTGTCAGAAAGCTGCAAATTAGGAGTGGTGCTGGACCTCAAGGTAGTCTACGACTGGTTGAAAGTGGTGTGGGACCTCAAGGTAGCCTAGGCCTAGTTGGGAGTGGTGCTGGATTTCCTAGTAATATAGGTCTTTTTGAAAACTCTAAATAGTGTATTAAAGCAACACAAAGCCAAAAGGATACTTTGTGACCACAGTTGGGGTCACCTGTTATGTGGCCCTAAATTTAAATTGGATTGCTGAAAGATTAACTGAAAGATTAACTGAGGGGTTTGTTGGGTTCAGTTCTATTTATTGTAAAACTTGAATACAGACATACTATACATGCCACAGCTGAAGAGAACCACCATTTCTCACAGAGGCCACTTAAGACACTTTCTGAAGCCTCGAAGAGTTTTTTTTGGGGGGGAAAGTAAAACACACGCTACTATTGTATATGTAGCAATTT